TCTACTACTAACCTACTAATAGTAACATACAAGGTCCCTCCAGCCTTTTTATTGCTATGATGATATGATTACTAAACATTAAAATGCTTTCTTGTCTCTGCTGCATATGGAAGAAAACTATGCCCATTTGTAGCAGAGCACTAAGATATGCCTGCTCCTTAAGGCTGAAGAAGCATGGCCAGGGAGCTCAGCAGGCTAAGTAGAGCTCCCCAGCTGCAGGCTGCAGGGGTAACAGCCTAAAGGAAAAATGGGCCACACCTGCTGACCTCAGCTGGCTGGCAGGAGGCAGGGTTCTGGGCTATATAAGCTCAGGCTGTAGCTAGCAGACGCATACCCTCTCTCTGGCAACTGTTTACCCCAGAGGATTGGGATGAGGCTAGAAGGGGTGGTTTGGAGGCTTCATTAGTCCCTGGAGAGCGATGACACTGGGCTCTACCAAATCATATGCCAAGTGTAGCAAGCCCAGAGCACCAGAGGGGTGCAGCTAAGGGGGTGCAGAACCAGGTGCCCAGGAGAGAGGCACTGAGCCAGGCATCCGAGAGAGTGGCCCAGAAAGCTAGACACCAGAGAACCCGGTCTCTGTGTTGCAGGGAGACGGGAGCCAGAGGGTTCAACACCAGGGGCGTATAGAGATGACAATGGTAGTACATGGGTAACACCTGCGAGACATGGGAAACATGTAGGGGAGGTCAGAGCATGTATGTACCACCCAGTATAGCTGAGCACATGAAGGGTAGCCTCCCACCTAATAAACAACTGAATTATTTAGTAACAAAGCGTGGCAGACAAGATAAGCGGTCAGACTGTTCAAGACAGGTGGGCAGGCATAGCCCACTGTCACACCATTCATTATTTTGGTATAATCATGGAAATACAAAACACCAGGGCAAATATACAAATGTGCATCAGAATTGGGTAAAACTATTTTTCTCCTTTTAACGCCTTTGAGCTGGCAAACATACATGTGAGTAGTGTCACTGAAGGCTATTGTACTTCTTGTATGTTTGAAGCATGTTTCTCAGGCTTGGAAAGTTGGACTTAAAATCTTTAAAAAAATCAGCTTTGATGAGCTCTTCCCTCTGTCGGACGCCCAGCAGAGAGTCCAGCATGTCTGGGTTAATCCAGGATCTGTCACAGCCTTCTTGTGTGACTTTAAGGACTCTCTTGTGCTTCGGTTTTCTCATCTGCAAATAGAGAATAATTTTAATTTACTTCATAAGGAAGTTGTGAAGCTAATTTAATTATGTTGTTGGTAAAGAGTTAGGTTTGTGAAAAAGGTACTGTAGGTGAGCAAAGATTTATTATAAAAGTACACAATGGTCCATTTTAACTTTGCTCAGTAGACTGCAGTAATTATTGATTAGCAGCTCCTGGCAAGGGGAGAAATTGGGCTGATGACCTCAGAGAAGTAAACTACAGGAAGGTTTATGTGAAGGTGTTCATGTTGTTATTAATGTTATTGTAAATCTTGATCCTTTAATAAAGTGGTGACCTTGATGTTGACAACTAGTATGCCATGGAGCAATATATAGTATGGCACTGACCTTGTAAATCTTGTGTCGTTTTTGCCGCTGACAGAGACAACATGTAAAAAAAACCTCAGGCAGCAGAAGTTTATGAAGAACATTTATTTGAAGGAAAGCATTTTAAATCAGACTCTTTCAATGAAATGAAATCAATGGTCCTGTCCACTTTTTATTCCTCACAATAAAACATATTTGTGAAATGAAATCTTTTAGGATTACACACAAGTTGGCAGAGTTTATACTGGGATGGTCATTTCCCTCTTACTGGGGGCA